GTCACTAGGAATGACTCAGAGCCAACTCGACAGCATTGACAACAACAATATATGTACATTGTTGTTAGTGGCATTGAGGTGGTTCTGGGTCACTCATAGTGACTCTGTGGAGGCTTTCTGAGGCTTTAAATCTTTGCAGGAGTAGAAAACCTCATCTTTTTCCCGAAAAGCAGCTGGTGGGCTAGAACCACAGACCTTGTGGTTCACAGTCCAGTGCTTGTTGCATGGAGTCACCATGCTCCCAGGCATATGTTCTGATTCTTGTTAAGTGCCATCAAGCTGGTTCCTACTCATAATGACCCTGCAGAGGGTTTCCGAGGAGCGGCTGGTGAGCTTGAACTGCCAACCTTGTGGTCCAGGGCTTATCCTACAGCACCGCAACAGGAGTCCAAGTATATGCACATGTATGTTGTTGTTAAGTGCTGTAAAGTCGGTCCCAACCCATAGCGACCCTGTATAGGGTTTCCGAGGACCGGCTGGTGAGTTTGAACCATGGGTCTTATGGTTCAAATCGACTTTGCAGTGCAGCGCATTAACCCATACTTACACATATATATACATATATCTATAACTATAGAAAGTCCTGGTGTGACACTATGGGTTAATGCGCCAGACTGCAAAGCCTTTTGAACTGCAAGGTTGTGGGTTCAAACTCATCAACTGCTCCTCGGAAACTCTATACAGGGTCGCTATGGGTTGGCACTTCACAACAACAACAATGTACATAAACTGTTGCCAAAAAAATACACACGGAATGTAACATTGCCAAGTCAACATTTTCCAGGTACATAGTTTAATGATATCAATTACATGATAGCAATCAGCACTGCTAGTAGGTGCCAAACGTGCCCCTGTGAACAGAAACTCATTGCGCCCTCCCCCCACGACCCTCTCCCCCTCCCTCCCGCTCTGGTAGTCACTCAGAGACTTTGAACTCTAGACTTTTGCCTGTTCTCAGTGTTTCATGTAAGTGAGACCATACAGTATTTGTTCTTCTCATGTTTCCTAATTTTACTCAGCATAATGCTTCCTTTCAAGCTCCATCGATGCTGTAGCATTTCTCCCACTGGCAGAGCAGCAGTTCACTGTGCGTAGGGACCACATTGCGTTTCTGCGTCCCTCTGGTGCTGGGCATGTAGGTTGTTCCACTTTGGGCTCTTGTAACTAGTCCTGTGGTCAACACTGATGGACACGTGTCTACTGGCTTCAACTAGGAGTGGAATTGGGTCACATGGTAATTTTATGTTTAGCATTTTTAGTAACCGTCTAATTGTTTGCCACAGCAACTGTACCACCTTGCATTCCTACCAGCACTGGAAGGGACTCCTAGTGTGGCTCTGTACGGTCAGCACTGGACTTTGAACTACAAGGTCAGCAGTTCAAACCTACCAGCTGCTCCTCAGAACCCCTATGCAGGGTTGCTATGAATCAGAACCGATTCCATGGCACTTATCCAACAGTAGTGGATAAGAGTTAAAATTTTCCCATATCCTTGTGAGCGTTTATTTTCTGCTTATTTGTATTTGTTTTTGTTTTCATCTTATTCATATCGATGAGAATGAGCTTGTCTCTCATGTGGTTTCAATGTACATTTCCCTGATACTGCGTATCATTACATGTGTTTGTAGCCATTTGAATGAACTTTTTGATGAAATGTCTGTTCAAGTTCTTTCCACAGTTTTCATTGGACTGTTTCTTTTTGTCATGTCAAGTTGTGAGGTTTTATATAGATGGTGGTGGTGGTGGTGGTTATGTGCCATGGAGTCAGTTCCGAGGCTATAAATCTGTTTAGCTGCAGAAAGTCTCATCTTTCCCCCATGGAATGTCTGGTAGTTTCGAACAGCCTGACTCATAATCCACTACACATATACATACACACACATATATCATACACACACACACACATATATATATGTACACATACACATATATACATGCACACATACACATATATATATTCACATACACACACACACACGTATGATATTGGACCCTTGTTGGATATACACCAAAAACCAAATCAAACCTACTGCTGAATTGGACTCATGTTGTTGTTGTTGTTGTTAGGTGTCATTGAGTCGGTCCTGACTCATAGTGACCCTGTGCACAACAGAACGAAACACTGCCCGGTCCTGAGCCAACCTCACAATCTTTGTCATACTTGAGCCCATTGATGCTGCCACTGTACCAATCTATTTTGTTGGGGGTCCTCTGCTTTTCCTCTGTCCCTCCACGTTCCTAAACATGATAATCTTTCTCCAGGGACTGGTCCCTCCTGACAATATGTCCAAAGTAAGGAGCTCTGGTAGCGTAGTGGTTATGAATCGGGCTGTGAACCATAAGGTCAGCGGTTCGAAACTACCAGCCGCTCAGTGGGAGAAAGATAAGGCTTTCTACTCCCGTAAAGATTTACACCCTCGGAAACCCTGTTACAGGGTCGCTATGGGTCGGAACCTACTCGATGGCACTTAACAACAAC